TAAACTGGCACGATGCATTATGGGGATGCTATAGAGTTTTTTTTCCAGGGCTGCTTTTCATTCCCAGTCCGACCCTGTACACAGCTACCCCTGCCTCATTATCCTATGGTGATCTACAGTTTACACACAACCCAAGACAATCTATAGTAAAGGTGGCGGTGCAGAGTTTCTGCTTTCACCCCACTGCTCTTTCAAACCTCTAGCCAACCCCCTCCCTTCCCTCTCTTTCTCCTCCTTTGCAATTCACTCAATTCGCTTATTCAAACCCATATCTGCAAACATTGCAGTTATTTATCGCCCCCTTGGTTCTCCTCGTCTCTTCCTTGACCCTTTTGCTGCCTGGTTTCCTTAATTCCTTTCCAGCAATATCCCATCACTAATTTTCGGTGATTTCACCCACCCTTGTCCTCAGTTTCCTCAAAACTTATTTCAATCACCTCCTCCTTTGAGCTATCACAATGGGCTTATTCTCCTGCACATGTAGCTGGCAATACCCTAGATCTTATATTTTCAAATGCATTTTTTCATGCAATCTCCAATCTCTGTAATACTCAGTTTCTTCTATCAGACCACTATCTCCTATTATTTGTTCTTGACTGCCCCCACACCTAACATCCTCAACCTAATCTCCCTCAACTCAGGAGGAATTTGAATTCTCTTGATCTTCAGCAGCTCTTGATTGAAATCCATTCTGAACTCTCATCCATCTCTACCCTCTCCTGTCCCTCTCTGGCTATCTCCTCATATAACGTTACCCACACCTCTGCCCTAGATGCTGCAGTCCCGCTCTAAGCATGCACCTCAAGGAGGGTGCGCCTCCAACCGTGGCACACTAAGTCAGCCCGCTACCTGCAGAGATGCTCCCGTTCAACTACACACTGCTGGAGGAAGCCTCGCACCTTGTCAGGCTTTCTACACTATAAATTTGTCTAGCGTTCATACAGTGCAGCCCTCACCCTTGCAAAACAGTCCTACTTTTCCTCTTTCATAAGTTCATGCTCCTGCAATCCTAGTCATCTCTTTAATTCTTTTAACTCTCTTCTTTGCCCCACTAATGCCAACCCTCAAACTAATCTTTCAGCTGATAGCTTTGCATGTTACTTTACTGACAAGATTAAACAGTTAAGGAATTCATTCTCCCCCCTTCTCCCCTCTCTATCTCAACCTCACTTGGACCATACCATCCCTACCCTCCAAGACTTCTCTCCAGCTACTGAACAGGAGGTGGCTGTGCTTCTTCTTTCCTCTCATTCCACCCTGTGTACGCTTGATCCCATCCCGTCCCACCTCATCAGATCTCTCACCTCTTGTCTGGTGCAGTCATTAACACAAATCTTCAACTGCTGTCTTTCTTCTGGTGTTGTCCCAGCTCCCCTTAAACATGCTACTGTTGTACCTGTCCTCAAAAAGCCATCTCTTGACCCTACCTTCCCTTCCAACTATTGTCCCATATCCCTGCTCCCTTTCTCCTCAAAGCTTTTGGAAAGACTTGTCTTTACCCATCTGACTTGCTTCCTCAATTCCAACTCTCTCCATGACCCTCTTCAATCTGGATTCCGCCCCCAGTCTCCACAGAGACTGCTCTGACTATAGTTACAAATGATCTAATTGTAGCTAAATTCAAATGTCACTACTCTATACTAATTTTACTTGACCTCACTGTTGCCTTTGACACTGTTGATCATGACCTCCTTCTCCTAATTCTTCAATCTCATGGTCTCTGTAACATGGCCCTCTCATGGTTTTCCTCCTATCTCTCCCAAACTCCTTCCATGTCTCTTTTTCCAATGACACCTCCTCTCCTCGTCCTGTCTCAGTCAGAGTCCCTCAAGGTTCGGTTCTTGGTCCCTTTTGTTCTCTCTCTATACTGCCTCTCTTTGCAAACTCATTAATTCATTTGGATTCCACTACCAAATGTATGCTGACGACACCCAGATATACCTCACCTCCACTGACCTCTCCCCTGTTGTCCTACAGCATGTAACCAATTGCCTTTCTTCCATCTCTGGTTGGATCTCCTCACGCTTTCTGAAACTCAATCTCTCTAAAACTGAGTTTCTTATTTTTCCTCCTCATAACACTGATCCTCCTCCTTCACTCTCCCTGTAGGTTGATGGTCCCTGCCTCAGCTTATCCTCTCAAGCTCACTGTCTTGTCCAGTCTGTTGCTAAAACCTGTCGATTCCAGCTTAAAAACATTGCCCGCATACGCCCCTTTCTTAGGCAAGATGCTACCAAGGAGATTGTTCATGATCTAGTAATCTCTCGCATGAATTACTATAATTCTCTCCTAATTGGTCTCCACAGAAGCTGTACTGATCTTTCTCTCCTGTCACTTCTCTCACTCCTCTCACACCCTCTGTCGATCCTTACACTGGCTTCCTGTACCCTACAGGTGTCAATTTCAAATACTAACCCTTAGCTATAAATCTCTAACCAACTCTTACATTTCTTCACTGAATCATAGGTATGCCCCCACTCAGTCTCCCTGCTCTACTGGTGACCTTCTCCTGTCTGCTGCTCGCAACCTTACTGCAGATTCATGCCTGCAAGACTTCTCACGGGTGGCTCCTTTCCTTTGGAACAGCCTGCCAGACTCTCCCCTAGTCTTCAATACTTTAAAAAAAGTCCCTCAAAATCCATCTTTTCAGGATTGCTTTGGGCCTCCAAGAGTAACTTCTATCTCTCAATCCTTCCTCTTGCTCTCTCCTAAAGAGCCACTCTCCACTCTCACCTCCAGTTCTGCTATTTTCCCACCATGTCAATTTTCTGTCTCCCTCTATTGTGTTTTTATACCCCACCTCCTCTAGACTGCAAGCTCATTTGAGCAGGGTCCTCAACTACCTATTGTTCCTGTTACATTTTGTTATTGTCTCATTTGGTAAATTCCCCTCTTATTGTAAAGCGCTGCGGAATAAGCTGATGCTATATAAATACCAATAATAATAATACTATAATCTCACTAAATGTTCGTGTATAGATTGCTTTGCAAACAAACCTAAAATTTATAATTATGTAAATGTGCGCAATTTTTATTTTTCACTTATTTGTTCATCCTTTAGAAAAAATATCTGGGAAATGAAAAGTTTTAATCAGTATATAGAGTATTCTTTATAGAGTATTACCTTGTAATATTTCACACAGGGTCTGAAGTATTAGTATAAAAGCAAACATTTTATGTTTCTCAAATGCTGTAGATGTGACAAAAATAGATAAATAAAAATAGCCAAATTCCTTGCTCACAGATTTATGCAAGAACACTGAACACTGAAGAACACTGAAGGCATTACTAGCACTTTAGCTTACTAAAAATAGAAACAGAATGTAAACAAAAGTCTACATTTGATCATAATGCCCACATCCAGTAAGTTAAATCATATATTTCTAAAAGAAATGTACTTAAAACTGATCCAGCAAGTTTAACATTTTAAGCAAATTTACAGGCCTTACATCAGTGGCTACTGGCTTCTGGCAGCACACGTGTTCCACGAAAGGCTGCTTATCATAACTAGAGTACAAATGAGGGTGAGTGAAGCTTTATAGGCTAGATATCATACTGCCACACACATGAAAATAAAAATGCTTATATCTTAATTTTTATTTTGCTTTAGTTCTTCTAAAATTGGTTTGTAGATCATTTTGGTTTGTCCAAATTTCGGTAAGGAAATGTATATTTTGAAAGCAAGTATTGGTTGCAGCTGCGCCCACTGGCATTGTGGTGCAGCCCTGGCCGGGGATGCAATGTCTGATGATGACATGTCAGAGCTGGGAGGAAGCCATCACTTCCTCACAGCTAACAGAACCGCACTGGAGGAGAACGAGGCAGAAGAAGAGGAGGGAGTCAGAGTGGTAGGAAACAGTAGGGCAGAGCCAGTGCAAGCATTTTTGGCGCCCTAGACGAAAATAAATTTCCCGCCCAATTTGCTTCAACCAATCATGCAAACTGACACACACAGACTCATATGCAGACACTGACCCATGCAGACACACACATACAGACACACTGACCCATGCAGTCACCCACAATGACCAGTGTATCTTTCTTTGTCTGCATGCATATCATTGTCTGTGTGTTTGTTTGTCTGCATTTGGGTCTGTATGTGTATCTGTTTGTCCGTATGGCTATCTGTATGTCTGTATGTGTATCTGTTTGCATGTGTGTCAGTGTGTGCCCCTATGTATCTGTATGTGTGTCACAGTTTCTATCTGTATGAGTGTCATTCTATTTTTTTGAATGTTTGTCATTAAGTGTGTCTGTGTATCTGCATGCGTGTCTATATGTGAATCTGTCTGTATGTGTGTCTGTGTATCCACATGTGTGTCTGTGTGTTCTGTGTCTGTATGTGTAACTGTTTGTATGTGTATCTGTTTGTCTTCATATTTGTCTGTATGTATATCCGTGTCTGCATGTGTGTCTGTATGTGTATCTGTATCTATTTTTCCGCATATGTGTCTGTATGTGTATCTGTTTTTCTGCATGTGTATCAGTGTGTACCCCTATGTATCTCTATGTGTGTCACTGTTTATATCTGTATCATTCTGTGTATCTGAATTTTATGGCAGGACAGGAGGCTTCATATTTGCTTTACCTTCTTTACTGAAACCTCCAGCAGCAAAGAAACAGTTAACAGAACTTTTCAAAACAACCAATCAGAACAAAGCAACAGTAGTATAAAACCCCTAAGCAGGCTCTTCCACTTCCTCTTTCTTTGCTGCTGCCTCCAGGTGAGCACTCACCAACTCAGAGTTGTCTCTGCTCTGGGTTGTTTTTTTATCCTACATGCTGCTTGTTTATTTAATCAGTCTATTTATTAGGTTTGTTTAGGCAGCTTAATTGCTGGTTTTATTTAGGCAGGGTTCTTGCTGGATTTAGCTAGGCAGTCTATTGCTGTGTTTAGCTAGGCAGTCTATTGCTGTGTTTAGCTAGGCAGTCTATTGCTGTGTTTAGCTAGGCAGTTAGCTAGGCAGTTTATTTTGTGTTATTTCCTATACTACTTCATGCTATGTAGCTGCTGTATCACTTGGTAACACCTGTTGCTGTATTTAGGCCATTTATCTGATAGATTCTGGATACTGCTCATTGATTTATTGTTATTCTGGGTTACTTTATACTGTTTTCTCACTCTGCTGTATGGGGAATGGGTGCCCCTGCTATGATGCTTTGGCTCTGCCTGTAATCTGTTCCCCCTCCCCGGGTTCCCCTGCTGGGCTCTGTCGCCCATACCCTTCTCCCTTGTTCCCCACCTGCTCCCTGTGGCCCCTGGCCGCTTGCTGAGCAGCCTTTTCTACCGTGGCAGTGCCGCACGATCACCACGCGGTAGGCCGCGCTCTGTTTTTGCAGCCACGGCAGCCATTTTGTTGGAGCCGCGGCGGCCATTTTTCAGAGCCACATGGGCTCTGTGCGTTGCAAACAGCCAGGTCTCACCCAAGAACTGGCCTGCTGGCCGTGTGGCCACCCTCCCCTCTCCCTATATCAGGGGAGATAGCCCAGTTTTTCAGCTATCCCTCTACTTACTGTGCCTGTCTCACATGCTGCTTATGTAACAGATCCTGGATAGCAGGATCTGTCCCAGGGCACACTCACAACTGCAGCTTACTATGTCTGATGCAATGTGACTAGGTTCTCTATCTTAGCAGTAGACTTGTCACACTTTTTTACTATTACATGTGAATCTCAGATTTAAAGGGACACGTTACTGCTCAAATAAAAATCTTTGTTTAACAAGACTATGCCACATGTGTTATATGCTAATCAAGTCTTTCTCTAAGGTTCAGTGTTTTTCTCATAAAAATTTAAATGGCCTGTTTTTCAGCACCTAGCTCCCCTGCCTAGGATTTGCTGCCCTTCCTGCAAGGGACTTAAATTTTCCACTACACATACAATTCAAAAGTGAATCCTAATATAATACCTGAGTGGTCTGTGAGTCAGCTTCTCGCTATATGGACCCTCCTACCCCTCAGGGGGGCTACTGGCCCCACATTCAGACCTGTTATTATTGGGGGGTGAACCCCCCCCATCCATATTTCTGGGGCTCTACCCGCTACTGGACCATAATAATGGACGTGTGACACCATTGTGGGCTGGGTGACCCCCTCCCTCTGGCAACATGGCTACCTATGAGTACCCTGCTGGCTCTACGGCGTCCTGTAAGATTAATGCTGAGGGTGACCCCCTCCTGCTCCCTATATTAATGCTCCGGCAATGTCCTGCTATTATCATACCGAGGGGGTACCCCTCCTGCAGTCTGCACTGCTGGATCTGCAGCATCCGGGTATTCCCATAAAAGAGGGTACCCCTCCCACTGATTGAGCTTCTGTTCTTACAGTGCCCTGCAATACGCAGATACTGAGGGTGACCCCCTCCTGTGGACTACTCTGCTGGACCTACAGGGTCCCATTATAACCATAATGAGGGTGACCCCCTCTCGCTGACTACACTGCTGGGTGTACAGACCTCTATGATACCACACTGAGGGTGACCCCCTCTTACCTACAGCACTGCTGGATCTGCAATGCCCGGTTCTGGTTATATGAGGGTGACCCCCTCCTGCCGTCTACACTGCTGGACTGGCAATGTCTGGTTACTTCATTATACGGCTAACCACTTCGGCACTACTGTACCCACAGTGTCCGATTATGTTCAGACTGAGGGTGACCCCCTCCCCTGCTGGCCTATACTGCATGGTATGCTTGTGCTTGTTGGGTGACCCCCTCTTGCACGCTGGGTGACCCCCAGCTGGCCGCACCACTGTACCTACAGTGTCCGATTATGTTCAGACTGAGGGTGACCCCCTCCCTTGCAGGCCTATACTGCATGGTATGCTTGTGCTTGTTGGGTGACCCCCTCTTGCACGCTGGGTGACCCCCAGCTGGCCGCACCAGGTATCATTCCGACAGTGTTACCTCTATGGCAGTTGTGCAATCACGGCCGAAGGACAAATCTCCCGTACCCAGAAGGTCACTTGGCCTGTCCTCTTGCCGCCCCGCTGACCTCACTGCCAGAAACCATCGGTACCCTACGGGAACATTCCACCGGCCATCCTAGACGCTACACCAAGCACCCCTGGTACTCGTTGGCTAACGGATGGATTCATCAAGAGGATCAGTCTTCATGGCGGAGTCCGGAAAGGACACCGCAAACACCTGACACGGGGTTTGCACTCTATCTGGGACTAACCAGTGGATGTCAGTGACATACGGACACAGATGTTTCCTCGGGACGAACGGCGCGTTACCGCTTGGAAAGCGGAGAAGACTAAATTCCCACTGGGAATGGACCGATATGACTTATAGGTATCGCCTAGTTGGTTTCTACCCCTGAGAACCGCAAAACGGCCCCTGTCCAAGCTGGACATCAAACTGATGGATTTAGCATCCAAGTGCTGGGTCTGCTCTCCGGAGTTACCCTCATGTACAAATTGAGCTGACACATCTCTATTCATAGGGTTCCACCTTAGCTAATCACAGAGGTCTCTCGGACCGTGCCCGGACTCCAGATCAAGGTTGCGGAACCTTGGACCGTTCCATGAGCAATACGCATAACCAAAAGAGGCATCCATTCCGACTCATTCCGCAGTTGCCCTGCTGGGCAAAGGGTGCGGTGGAGTGGACACCCGCCCCATCCCCACGCTACATGCTCCCAGTGCATATGTCGTCTGTTGACACATTTTGAGATGGAGGGCACTCATCCCCTCTGAGAGCTGCTCGGCGTTGACGATTGATTCTCTCCCTCAAATGCACATGAGAGAAACCCGCATGGATTTTGCCATCAACATGGACATATTGAATCTGACTCACTCCCAGTCAACCCAGTTTCCGGTCTTTCATGGAATATTCGGTCCAGGCGGTGCTCCGCCTCCCGAGGACCAAGATGTCCGTCTTCAAGGAAAATACCAGGTATATACTCTGCAACCCGCGGGTTACACTTAGGGGCCCAACCCGGTTAATTGACCGGTGCCTATTCGCCATTGAAGCCATACCTCCAGGATCCGGTACTATCAGCCGCTCCAACATGGCGCTTTCTCGCGTCTTTGGCCTTGTATGACCAAATCATGTGACCTTCGGATGAAGCTCATCTAAAACTTAATTGATGACTCCGGAGGAGGGACTCCTTTACGCCAACTGCATGGAACTACCTGCAGGTTTGTTCAACATTCACAGTATTGCTCGCTACCTTCCGGTATGGACTTCTCACCGGTTGCCCACTATGGACTGCAGTCGGATCTCACATAGGATCGCTATCTATAGCTTCTGGACAAGTATTCGTCATTTGTGACAGAATGTATGCGGGACGAGACACTCGTGTGGCGGACGGCTTCACCCGACCATGGAGAGACCCCGATGATTGGTTGCCTCACCCTCCAGGATCTCGAGTACTGGCATGATTACATTCGGTGCGAACCGCCATACGCAGCGGTTCTCCAACTGGCTGCCGGATCCTCGGCGAGGGACGAGTTTTCCAAGCTTGGTCTCCTTCGGGGCGTACGCATCCCGTTTACCTACAGGATACTTTGGGTTTTGCTTCAGACCGAATTCCTGGAAGTGTCGTTTCGCCTGGCCAAACCACTTCGGAGGAGTCCTGCGTGCTTTCCTCTTTTTGCTGGAGTTTGCCATGGGAAGGCAATCTACGACTCCCTGTCTCTTAATGCCACAGGGGTAGCCTGCCATGACTGGTGTTTGGGTCCCAATGGCGGTCCTTATCATGGCTGTCCCCATTGTCTGGCTGAGTTGCCCTATCAGGGTAGGATCGTATGGGGCCATTCACGTCCTATGTCAGCTAGTGGACGACTCATGTGCGTTTTCTCAAGATTCTGGCATTGCTAAGGATCTCTTGGTCTGCAGTCTACCAAGAGGAGTATACCGTACGGGAGCCCTATCTCTCGCTATTCCTCAAGTCTAGTGGTATCGTGTGTTCTGGATTTCATTGAGGAATGACCTGATGACAAGGTGCACCAGTTTTTTCCACTTACGGTTTCCCCCCAGTACATCTTTTATTTCATCGCGTTCTGACGTCATGGTATCGACGTGTCTTCTTCCTTCTTGCCGTTCAGTACATCGGCTTCTGCTCCACACATTTCATTTTTATTCGTCCTCTGTGTCGTACCCCTATTCTCCGGATAGGCCACGGCTCTGTTGACAGATTGTACACGACCATGTAGATCCAGGATCTGGTTCTTTCGTCCGTCTACTCATGGACAGCTGTTTATTTCTGCGTACAGCCGTTTTGGACTGTTTCTGCATCTTCGCTCACCCGTTGGATTTGGTGGATCCTCTCATTGACTGACCTTGAGTTCCTCTGGGACACTTTTGGTTCAGGGTGCTGTCACCTCAACAATTTTGGAAGCTGTTGGGTCCCTTCTGCATTTTCTCTACACCGCTGCTTGGTTTAGGGAATCAGTTTTTCCATTCTCCTTTATTTCAGTCCTCTATCTCATATTGCTTCTGGTTCTACTATTTGGGCGTTAAAATTGCAAATATGAAGCCTCCTGTCCTGCCATAAAATTAGGGATTATTCTAGCCTCGGTGAGGGAATAATCTAAATTTTATTAAAGACAGGAGGCGAATATTTCCCCCCCTTTTTTTACGTTCCCTCCCTGGATCTGAGTTTTATTTTATTATAAATAATTGGGGATATTGTTATGTTTTGTGAATGCATGGTTTTACATAATAAAGGTTATTTCTAATATTCAGTGATGGTTGTCCGTGTGCGTTTTATTCATCATGTTTGTGTTGTAATTATGTTTTGTCAATGCCTTTTAGCTTAGGTACATACTAGGTCTTCATAAGATCTGTAGACTTTGTTTATTCATCAGGTATTATGATGTGAAAGTGATATTGTATGGATATGACATCTTGCCTTGACAGTTTACTTTCACGATGTTTTCTGTTTTCTTGCAGTGTAATCTGTTTTCTCTCTGGGCTTGACGATTGTTTCTCTGGATGTGTCTGCTACAAGGTGGATTCGTTGGTTTCCTTGCTCTCCTGCTCGACCTCATCAAAGAAAGAGGAAGTGGAAGAGCCTGCTTAGGGGTTTTATACTACTGTTGCTTTGTTCTGATTGGTTGTTTTGAAAAGTTCTGTTAACTGTTTCTTTGCTGCTGGAGGTTTCAGTAAAGAAGGTAAAGCAAATATTCGCCTCCTGTCTTTAATAAAATTTAGATTATTCCCTCACCGAGGCTAGAATAATCCCTAATTTTTGTCATTAAGTGTGTCTGTGTATCTGCATACATGTCTATATGTGTGTCTGTGTATTCGCATGTGTGTCTGTGTGTTCTGTGTGTCTGTATGTGTATCTGTTTGACAGCATATGTAAACCAATAATGTAAGTGTGGAAAGATCCATACAAACAAAAGAGGGCGTTAATGCCAAGGCAAAAAACAAGATATGACTAATTTAGCAACCAAATAAATGTATAAATGTCATAATTTATTAATAGAATAAATAAAATAAAAAAAATGAATGAACAAACAGTTCAATTAAAAGACCAGGATATAGGCACACGTTTGTTCCCGGCTTGGAGAGAAGTCGAACCATGAGGCCCATCCTGCTTCAAGGCCCTGAACATGCCATCACTCAGATAAAATACAATCGTGATGGGGACTTGCTCTTTACAGTCGCCAAAGACCCTGTGGTGAATGTTTGGTACTCCGTGAATGGCGAACGGCTGGGAACATACAATGGACATACAGGAGCGGTGTGGTGTATGGACGTTGACTGGGACATGCGTCATGTACTGTTTGGATCTGCTGATAACTCTTGCAGGCTCTTTGATTGTGAGACAGGAAAACAGCTGGCTTTGCTGGAGACAAACTCCGCTGTGAGGACTTGTGGCTTTGAGTTCGGAGGCAACATAATTGAAGATAATGAGCCTTATATGAAAAGATAACCAGAGCTGTGTGGGGCCCTCTTGGAGAACATGTCATTGCAGGGCACGAGAATGGAGAACTAAACCAATACAGTGCTAAGTCTGGAGAAATTGTCAACACTATCAAAGAGCATTCTAAGCAGATTAATGACATTCAGAGCTCCAGGAATATGACTATGTTTATCACTGCATCCAAGGACTGCACAGCTAAGCTATTTGATACTACAACACTGGAACATCAAAAATCTTTCCGTACAGAGATACCAGTTAACTCTGCTGCCCTGTCACCAATATATGACCAGGTTGTTTTGGGAGGTGGACAAGAAGCTATGGATGTGACCACAACATCAACCAGGATTGGGAAATTTGAGGCCAGGTTCTTCCATATTTAATTCTTCTTTTTTATCTGTGTATTTTTTAAAGAAGATTTTATGTATCTATGCACTCTATGTTATTTTACTGCAATTTTAATTAGATTGTGAGATATACCACAGATTTTATTTTCATACAACGTATATATAGATTTTTAACATAATCATATATTTGCATATATTATTCCACATATAATTTATTTGTGGTATTAATCAAGGTGTCAGTTGATTGAAAGGCATCCAATGTAACGCATTTGCTACCACAGGTGACTTCTACTTATGTAAAGTTTTGTGTTGCCTTGTGGAAGCTGTTCGAGTGCCAATAAAGTTTTGTTTGAGTTCCACTATGGTTGCCCATGTGCGTTGGGCCATCCTGAACAGTCTTAGTGTATGACCCAAGACTATGCGCCGATACATGCGACAGGACAGATGATTATGCCTCCACGCGCATGTGCAAATTACCTGATTGAGCGCAAAGATTCACAATATTTAAGAAGAGATCATCTCCATCTCCTGAGGAAATCCCGAATATCGCGAAACGCGTTGAGCCACAGACCGATTCTGAAGTACAGAGACTATATTACCACCACAGTGTTTCCACCAGAAGGTATCCCTTGCCCCCAGGATTCGCGACCAGTTGGGCTTTTGGTTGTTCCTTGACATACACCCCAGTGGTTGGTGCCGGATTATATATCCTGATCTTTTAATTGTACTGTTTATTCATTCATTTATTTATTTTTATTTATTCTATTAATAAATTATGACATTTATGCATTTATTTGGTTGCTAAATTAGTCATATCTTGTTTGCCTAGGCATTTAGCACCCTCTTTTGTTTGAATGGTTCTTTTCACACTTACATTATTGGTTTAGATTTTGTCATTATAGGCTTCTTTGGAGTGTGACTATGGAGTGGCACCTTTTACCTTGGCATCCTGATTACCTAGATCTACCTATATTGTGTTTTTTTAAATGCATATGTGTTTGTATGTGTATCTGTATGCAATGGCGTACACACGACCCATGGTGTCCCGGTGTGAAAATTGATGCGTGGGCCCCCCTCCCCCCCTCCGCGCTTACTCTGCACGGGTCGGGGCCGCAACACATGGCGACAGGCACCTGGTCGCAGGGCTGCGATCCCTGCAACCGCGGTATGTACGCTAGTGCATGCAGATACACATACACTTAGAGGACCACTACAGACACCCAGATCACATCAGCTCAATGAAGTGGTCTGGGTGCCAGGTCCCTATAGTTTTAACCCTGCAGCTGAAAACATAGCAGCTTCAGAGAAACTGCTATGTTTCACTAAGGGTAATCCAGCCTCTAGTGGCTGTCTCACTGACACCCGCTAGAGGCGCTTCAGCAATTCTCACTGTGAAAATCAAAGTGAGAAGATGCTGGACGTCCATAGGAAAGCATTGAGTAATGCTTTCCTATGAGCGGTTTGAATGTGCGCACGGCTCTTACCGAGCATGCGCATTCAGAGCTGAGAGGCGGATCGGGGCGGAGGGATCCCCAGCGCCAAGGGAGTCCGGTGCTGGAGAAACGTAAGTGCTGAAGGGGTTTTAAACACACACTCTCATGAACAGATGTATACACACTAGCTAACAGACACACACATTTACTAACAGAGACACACTCAGTGACAGACATACATACACACTCACTGACAGACAGACACACATACACACTCACTTTCAAAACATACACTCTCACTGACAAACACACATTCACTAACAGACACCAAACAGACTCACTAACAGACACACACAAACTAACACACTCAGTAACAGACACACACAGTAACACACTCACTGACACACACACACACAAACACACACACTGTCACTCACTAGCAGACACACACTCAATAATAGACACACACAAACACACACACACACACACAAAAACTAACACACTCACTGACACTCGCAGACGCACACACAATAACACACACACTGACACAAAAACTAGCACTAACACACACACACACACTTTAAAAAAAAAAAATGTGATCTCCCAGCCTCCCTACCTTTGGGAGTGTTGAGGGGATTCCATCTTTCCCTAGGGTCCAGTGGGGCTGCCCGGCGGCCAGTCCTGCGGGCGCATGAGTAGCACTCTCCCCTGACCACTCTCTGCCCAGCTCCCTGAGCGCTCTCTGCCCAGCTCCCTTGCGTGCCACTTACTGATGCTGGAGCCGGAATATGATGTCATATTCCAGCTCCGGCATCACTGCAGTGCATGAGGGAGCTGGGCAGAGAGCGCTCAGGGGAGAGGGCTCCTTCGCGCGCCTGCATGACCGGCCGATGACACCAGGGCAAGCCTCGGGGGCGTACATACCGGGTCACAGGGCGACCGCGGTATGTACGCCACTGTCTGTATGTGTTTGTCTGCACATGTGTCTGTATGTGTATCTGCATATGTGTGTCTTTATATGTATTATATTATACAATGGGTGGTGCGGGAGAGGGGGAGTATGCAATATGTATGGTTGGGGGGTGCCCAGTGCAATTTTTGAACCAGGGCCCTGTGTTTTCTAGTTACGCCTCACAATAAGCACTCAAAGACTTAACATGGAGACCATGATTAGTGTCACTGGCAACATGTCTGTCCATAAAGAGAGTGACATCCAACTAGAGCTGCCCGTATGCTGAGTATTGATGACATTCGTGCTCTGTATTTCATTGCTAGTTCAATTTGTCACATGATAAAATTGTGTGATTTGACACATCTGGGATTGTCTTGCTACAATATAAATATAATAATAATTTGTAAATTTTTAGAATTTTCGAAACTTGAAATTATAATCGATTGAAATGCAAATTGCTAAATTTAGGACAACATAGATGACTTGGAAAAGCTGTACAACTAAGATAAAGGTACATACAGGCTATTTTAGCTTTACTTTTGCAATTTATATTCAGTTCACTGCAATTTGGAGTTTAATTAATAAACCTTTGAAGATAAGATCCACCTATGCTTCTTTAACCATTGCCACAATTTACAATATAATTTGTATGAAATGTTGGCAACGTTTTGGAACAATTTATTAAATCTGTAGGATTTTTTTCACCTGTAGCTTTTTTGCTCCATAACCATATTTTTTTTTAAATATGGACAATTTTTCATGTCAAGCTAACTTAATTGCATTCTACATTGTCATGGGTCATGCATTTATGGCAATAACAAGAGGTAAATATGAGTTCAGTCATAGGATCTTGAGTGGGACCAGCTGCAATTAACCAAGGCTGATTTCAACAAAATCTTTGAAGGGAATTGAGAATATTTTGCATTCTTTGCACATACATTATCTTCAGCTATAATTAAAATGCTGATTTTATTTATTTATTTATTTATAATATTTTCCTCAGCAATTTTATGTTATATAAAATAAAATAAATTGTGTTAATTTCCTAAACCATTTAAAAATACAACTTGTTCCCAGAATAAGGAAATTGTGTATTAATAATAGGTATCTAAATTATTTCTTGCCCGAGTATAATTGTTTTACTTAAAATGAATGCTTCCTCCCAGGGGATAAAGGTTAGTTAATGTAATAGGCAGTTCTGGATGCCAATTAAACTATATGCAATTTTCTTGGCACCTTATAAAACTGGAAAACTTTTCATATATTAAATATAAGTTTAAATATAAAAAATAAAGATTATCAAGGAACATTAAGACAAGTCCAAAATGCAAGTACAAGTACATTTGTTAACCCCTCTACTACCAAGTTGTTTCCACCCAAACAGTATAAAAGTATATATTAAGTTAATTGAATGGTAAAATAGGCAGTGAAACTTATACAATGTTCCCTCATTGGGATTTTTGTGTTTATGACTGGTCAAATAATAAGAGAATATATTGTATTGGTTTGAAGGTGCTGTTAACCTTGAAAGAGATGGAATTAGCCACCAATCGCTATGTGTTGTGGTAACATTTACCATGTGTTGAGTGAGTCTAACCGGTTAAAGGGACAATTTATTCACCAAAACAATGTTAGCTTTTTGAAACAGTTATGGTATATAGATCATGCTCCTGTAGTTTATGCAGCCCTAGTCACACTTCCCCAGGCTGGGACTTTAACAGTCTCCGTACACACTTCTTAGAAAAAAAGTCTAAAGATTTTAGCTTCCCTTATAGCATAGTGTGTTTCATTTAGAATCTCTTCTACTCAGTTAATTGCCTGTTAAGGCATACAGTACCCTTATATGTTCGATTAAAGTTCAACTAACAAAGTAGGAGATAAAAACGTAAACACACTGTGCTTTAACCCCTTAAGGACTGGACTGTTTTTGCGATGTTGTACATTTGCAACCAGGAATATTTTTACACTTTTCTGGTGTTTGTGTTTAGCTGTTATTTTCCGCTCTCTCATTTACTGTTCCCATACAAATAATATATTGTTTTTTTTCAGGACAAAGGGGCTTTCTTTACATACCATTATTTATATAATCTCATGTATTTTAATTTAAAAAAAATAAAAAAATATGATGAAAAATTGAAAAAAATACATGTTTTTTGACTTTTACTTGAAAAATCTTTTACTCATCTACAAAAGCGAATGAAAAAAACAGCTAAATAGATTCAAAATTTTGTCCTGAGTTTAAAAATACCCAGTGTTTACATGCTTTTTTGCTTTTTTTTGCAAGTTATAGGGCTATAGGTACAAGTAGGATATGGCGGTTTCAAAACAAAATTTTTTTAAATGTATCAATAGTGACATTGTAACACTATTATCTGTCATAAATCTCTGGAAAACACTCCACATGTATATATTTTTTTTAAAGTAGACAACCCAGGGTATTCATCTAAGGATATTTTGACACTTTCTATGCAGCCATTTTACCACAAGTCTTTGCCAAACTTTGCATAGATAGTTGTTTTTTTTTTTTTTTTCACATACATTGCAATTCAGGTATAAACTTACAGATCCTGTTATGTCTTGCTGCCAAACAACACGCCAATATGTGTTCAGCAACATCTCCTGAGTACAGTGATACCACCCATGCATAGGCT